ACACTCACTACCCCATGGTAGAGGTACTTGGTCCAGAACTTGAGCTCATATTGACGTCATAACATTGAAAATCTGACAAACTAAATCCAACTGTGAAATCCTATTTAAGATGAAGTTCAATGAAAATACTCAAAATAATGTCCTTCTGCATTAAAACATTGCATTAATACATTTTGGTATCTATCCACCCACTATTTGTGCACATTTTGCAGTTCTACTCAGGTGTCTTGATTTCAGCAAATGTTCTTAAATATGATACACTCGGACCCCTCTTTAATTAGGGCTGGTCCAAAGTCCAAACACACAACAGAGGGGAGCATTATCTGGGGAATATGGAGAATGTCCTAATACCTTCTGTCCTAAAACTTCGAATTCCATATTTAACTTGTTACTGATAATATTGTAGACCATGCCAGATTTGTTACATGATGTGTTGTCCTAGCAGACATTTTTGAATCTATGGCTCTGTTCGGTCACTTTTTACGCATTGCTTTACGTAGGTGAACTGAAAGCTTATTGTTTCATTTCTTGTCTTATGGATCACGAGGCGTTCGTGTTTTCTGTATAATACAAGATATACAATGATTTCACAGTTATGAGAATAGGGCATGAACAGCAGTTACTATTATAACAGTCATTGTAGAAATAAGCAACCTTGTAATGGGATTTTGAACTATAAATATTACCTTGTCCCGCTATAGCGTTATTGAGGTTACCAAATCAACCATAACTTCAGAAATATTTGTAATCAACATCTTTCAAATTTTTTGTAACTTATGAGGAAATGAATGACCCAGATCCTCTAAAAATATTGTGCAAAATGAATAATAAACTTTTAAGTTGGACCATTTTTATCAAGACTTCTGGATCGGCCCTTGTATATGTCCGAACACTTGAACTTGACATATACGTTAACCAACATTCTAGGTATTTAAATGCTTTTGAAAACAGCACTCTGGGAAATGTATTGTAATCTCACACATGGGTCACTGAACCAGTTATAATTCTCTTAAATTAAACGAACAAATCTTTCGTTTTCCAATAAACTTCATGTTTACAAACAATAACCAACCATCTCAATCCAATATATAATTCCTCTGATGAGATTACGCAGATAATGATAAGATTGTAGTCTACTGGATAATGAAGCAATTACAGGGGATGAAATAAGATCAGGTAAAATACCGGGCAAAATAATTTCCTATACACAGTCAGTCATTTACAAACTATAATAGAGGTTAAAGAAAATCGTTTTTGCGATTGTTAAATAGACAAAACAGTATATGGGTATTCGTACATCTCGGCATGGGATGAAGTGAAGTGCAGGATGCAGGATCTAAAAGACACATTTTTCCTGGTAACGACGATAATGTTAACCTCATTTCTTTCGTAATTTTAGATACACTCCCATTCGTATTTTCCAACTCAAATGGATTATATGTGTTTTAGAAAATTGAAGGTTATGTAAATGATGAATATATATCACCAGGCTCGAAAGTATACTGTACAACCTTACATTACATGCTTTCAGATAAACAGAGAAAACAATGGGTTGCTTAACTGACTATCTATTATTTAATGTTCTGGAAATCTAGTTCAACATATTGATCCCAACAAATCATGCATTACCGCCAAAATATCGAGAATGAGTGTCACTGGTGATCCGCTCGATTACGCTGGTTACCAAAACGGTTCGTTTTGGTAACAAAATGTCGGAACATCGAAGGTACGATTTTTCTTTTTTCCTTATTTCACACGTTGTAGGCAGAATTTCCATGACATTTTTAAAACAAACGTGTATCAGTATCATATGTTTAAGAAAATGTACATATTTGTGAACAAATAGTTCAGAAGACAACAGAATCGTCGATTTAATTTCTCACTTAAGTTACATAAACGGTTTTTCGAAAAACAGTTAAGATCTGCACTTTTAACCCAAACCGTTTATGTAACTTAAGTGAGGAATTAAATCGACGATTCTGTTGTCTTCTGAGCTATTTTTTTCGCAAACATGTACATTTTCTAAAACATATGATACTGATATATGTTTGTGAGAAAAACGTTGTGGGGATTATGCCTACAACGCGTGAAATAAGGAAAAAATAAAAATCGTACCTTCGACGTTCCGACATTTTGTTACCAAAACGAACCGTTTCGGTAACCAGCGTAATCGAGCGGATCACCAGTGGAGTGTGAGTGTTTAAGGGATGAAGGGTTTAAGTAGATGCATACACGACAAGTATTTTAAATTGGAATACAAAATGAATTGAGTCTTGTGTTCAAGGTTTTGAAGTTAAATATCTGTACGTATGCGTTTATTTCAAAGATTGGTACGGTCATATCGTGTTATTTTATCACTTGATTAATTCAATTTCAATCTAATTTGTTAGTGTTGATGAAACAAGAGGGGGATAACCCCATATAACTTCGAAAAGTATTTCTGGCGTGTTAATTAATATCATAGTTTGTTATTTCGCATCAATATTAAGTAAGATGTAAGAAATATGCGAACATGTAGATTAGAACATCACAACGACGTGTTGTATTCCTAAACTAGCCGGTGAAAACAAGGTGGTGAGCAAGAGACGTAATTAGTATGTCATCTCCCCAGCTCTGGGGCCTGTTCTCCTCTTGGGATAAAACTACATACATCGTCAAGACGCCATCTTTTTTACAATAAAGACAATAATTGTTTTCATTGTTTGAAGAGTGCGCTAAAGTATAGATACATCCTTGTTGCAAGGGTATTTTACATATATTTAGTATTTAGCATAAATGAAGTCCTTTGAAGAAGGATGTATAAATACTGCGCATACTGAATATATTGTCCGGAATCGCTGTTAACGATACCACACATTGGTTATTATAGTTCACCCCGGACAGTCATTTCTAGTAATCGGACTAAAGAAACCTAAAGAAATATAGTCCATAGGCCTTGCTTGTTATTCTTGAAAATATGGTCCCGGACCATAATTTCCAGTGCACCAGTTATCATAACACAATCGTACATGGGATTGAGCCGTGCATGTGCATGACAAGATTCAGTGACAGGTATTGTATGTAACACATAACGTCATTGTCAAGATCCCACATGTGACATCTATATAACTATTTCATTTTCGAAATCAACAATTTACAGGTTTGATACTCCTTCCTACTGACCCCTCTAGTAGATAATATATGATAGAAATTGTTATATAATATCATCAATTTATCCTTTACTTCCTGACAATGTTACGTACACCGTATTTAATCTAATTTGTAAAATATATTAGACTGACTGTGCAAATACAGGTTCTTGTATTAGATACTTTTATTTGTCACCAGGCCTCAACCAACGGATATGATATTCTAACATTGGAGCACCAAATAAAAAAAATCAATCTCGACTGATGCAACAATGGAATTGAAGGAGTAATATAAATATCAAAATAAGTTAATATGGTCCAAAGTAAGTGCATACCAGCGTGATAATAGACTAAGATTATCTTTAATTTTTGTTACTGCGTTCGGCGGTTGGCATTTGACATCTGTAACAATTTTCAACAACTTACAAAGTGGTGACATTTTGTCATGTACCATTGCCTTGTTCAACCTTTGGGTGGCCCTTTAGACTTTCAAACAAGTAGGATCAAATTGTGCATTTTATAAATACAATGTATCCTATCTTAATAACGTTTCATTTTTAGACATATGGTACAATACAGCGAAGCTCCATATCTAGCTCTCATGTAACAATAATGGCGGCATATGCTCGATTTATGAAAGAGCAAATAGTAATCTTGACCTTTGAGACCATCTGAATCTGCTTGGATACGATATTATGTGATATGCTAGAAATTGGGAAGAATGAGTTCTGCTATATGAAAACGAAATAGAACTAAACAGACAGCAATTTATTGTATGCTTGGTTTGGGTGGACGATCATACACGAATTAGGATTGTGTTATCATATGTAATATAATTACCAAAACTGACAGTGGTATATGGAGGTATAGAGCAAATTGTATACAAATTGTGATTAACTTAATATTTAATATTACCCATAGGAAACGTAAAACAACGATTATTCAATGACAAATAGTTCAAATATGTGTATGGATTCAATTTGGAGGTTTACATTAAAGATTCTACTGTCACATCGACACCATCGCACGATATGTACAAATACTTGAAATCATAATTACACGACTAAGGGATAAGTAAATATGCCTAGATACGATGCGTACCGAGAGTGAGGCCAATTTGCCAAAGTGTTGTGTTCAATTGTATTTGTTTGGAGATTATTTCGTTGAATTGATGTCACTAAATAGTATTCAAATAACTTTGGGGGTATTCCTTGGGTATACAAAAGGACAACATCTGATCAAAACCACATTCGGCCACAATCAACGGTGAGAAAGAGATAGAACTGCAGTAGAAAGAACTTGCAAACAATATAGTTATGAAAACCAGATTATCGTTTCGGGAATATTCGCATAATGTTGTTCAATTTACAAATATTATGCTGCTATTCACGAGATCTTTTGGAACCAGAAATAGGGAATCAACGTTTGACAAAAGGATGATGCCGGAGTATCGCAAAAATGGATTCGTTGAGAGCGACATAATTTCGTTCTTCTACGAGTGAGGACACTATAACGCGTATGAAGTATAGCGAAATGTGAGTACTACATATGTTCGTTAGCTTCAAACCTCTATCACGATTTCTTATCTTTGATTTAAAATAATTGTTGAATTGAAATTAAAATTGATAAGTTAATATTCTGGAGACACAAACTTTGTTAAATGCATTTGTATATGATGGCGGTGTATCTAACGATGATAATATCTAAAATTCATAGTATCTATTTTATTTCTCTTATTAACAAATACAATGATACCTAAAATATAATGATAATGATACCGTACCAAGAACTGGTACCTGAGGTAGGACTGTCCAAATGATTGATATGATTACTTTGTCATTCATTCGACCTAGTTTGTATATTCATGTACGATAAATTGTCTTCTTGTAATTCTATATTCTTTGTCAACATATTGTGATCTTCAGTGATTCAACTAGTTAATGAATAAACGCGCATCCACTGAAAGCGTATTGATGGAAAGAATGTTTCGAAGATTTGCCCTGCCAAAGATCATACGATTTCCTGAGATCGATTTTTAATTGCCCTCAAAGTATGTATCCATTACGTAAGTCGTATCCCAGCCGCGACAGTTATTCTTTAATCCTTCCAAATCTATTTTAGTCACGATATTGTTCATCGTCAGAATGGTCTCCAATTCAGCTTGAAGAGGTTCAAAGAATTCTGTTAATTGTGTTGCATTAAAATCTGGTAAGGGTTCATTCTTTGATCGCTTAGCATTTCGTAATGATTTCAAAGCTTCTCGCCACGGTTTCTGTCTACCAAGACTTAACATATTCCTAAAGAATAGAAACAAATGTATCAACAATTTGAACATACACATAGTTCCTACTAATGCCGTGGTCACATTTGCCCCGATTTTTACTATGGCGCCCGGCCGATTGAGTATTTTGAACAAATATTGAACAAAACACTCAATCGGCCGGGCGCCGGCCAATGGATCGGAGCAAATGTGACCCAGGCATAAGCTTTCTATTTATTTGCATCCGCTGGACTCAGTTTATCGCCTTATGAACTCGCCTGAATCTTTCCATAGTTCTGTTAATTCTGTTCACCTTCTTGCCAAATGGATTGCACTTGTGTAGAGGCCCATTACCCACACAGATCGCATCCAAGAATTGAAATTCCAGTATGGTTGCAAAGAAATACCTGAAATGATATCAACTCTGAGTTTCAGCAACTTTGAGTATTAGCCAATACAAAACTTTGATGCAAGACTACTCAATTCATAGAATGAATTTTTGTATTTTGCGGTCAACATAAATACGGCAGTAGTGGCCTTTCTATTTCAGCGACACAAAGATGGCATTATCGATATTTCTATTTCAGCGACATAAAGATGGCAGTGGTGATCTTTCTATTCATTACAATACAATACAATAGAATACAATACAATACAATACTGCTATCTTTATGTTCCCCTGTGTGTATATTGGCAGGCTGGACTGGTTATACATGAGCTTTTGTTTAAGGCCCCATGCAAAGTTTAAACCACATTATGGCTTATATTGTAGTCTTACTCAATGTTATGAAAATGTGATGTAAGGAACTTTTTTAATTTTAGAAAATCGTAATTATATTATGTTATATTTGAGGTTAATTACACACATATCTTTTACGAAGCAATAATCCATATCAGTGCATAGCATTTATCCTCACATGTCTTTTGTCGAAAAAATTAACTCACTAATGCATGAAAGTGGTTTAGAGAAAAATGCATTTTGAAAAAAAGAAAGATTGAAAAAAAAAATAGAATTTTTTTTTGAAAAAATGAAAAAAAATTAGAAAAATTGAAAAAAAAGAAATTGAAAAAGAATTGAAAGAAAATTAGAAAACTCTACTTTGTATAGGATAAAGCAGTTATGTTCGGTCGGTTTGGATATTGGGTTCATCCCTCTTGAGATATGCACATCTACCTTCGGTCCCTACGGTCCCTCAAGTAGATATGCATATCTTCCTCTGGATAAACCCCATATCCAAAACCTCCCGGTACATAACCCTTATTTATTATTGAAATAGAATGTCCTTTGTTCAATCTTCGCAATCTTTGCTAAAACAATTATGTGTTTTGTACTGTTTATTTAATGGAATGTTATGATTAAAAAATCTCAACTTTTATTTGAAAAATGGCGGGAAATTCAAATATTTGATAAATAAAAAGCTGACAATTCTTTTCCCAAAAATATTGTCTCCAAAATCGTTAAACTAACTATTCATAATAAGTCATGAAAAATAATATATAAATGATAAAAACATATTTTCTTCAAACTTTACAAAGGGCCTTTTTAACTAGACATACGTACACTATCTATTACCGATATTGGTCTATTTTTCACACAAGTTAAATATTCATATTCAATTATCCATTATAGGTATTTGTTCATATTCAATTATCCTTTCTAAGGACTTGTTATCTAATTTGATTGATTATTGAGGGAGTTACGCATAACCACATGTAACCATGATAACAAGGGAACACATAGGCCCAGTTCACCTTTTCGATATGAACCGAAGTTCAATACTGGGGCATACTTTGTAACGTCACGAGTGATGAACAATTGCGCTTTTCTGTAAAATTCTCAATGAAAAGACGTCAAAAAGCTACATGGGACATTTTTGTACCTTTTTCTTTCGCATCGTTTGACAAGTTATCATGTTTGAAAATGTTTGAAATTTTCCATGATCAAAATATATTAAAAACCTATATCTAAAATGTTTTTATTTTGATATATTTCTTAATTTTAATGCGTGCACGTGATGGCTGGATTTCAAGTTTACGCATTTTTAAGCTAAAAATACTAAATGGGACATTTTTCGTACCCTACATATCATTTGATATTTAAGAAATTTGAAGGAAATTGAATATTTATTCTTCAGATTTATTAATTTTAGCTAAAACCTTGTTTCTTATTTTAATTTCAGCCTTTAAAAGTAATTAATTCCAAAATAAATGGCATTTTGCTTATCTAGGGGTCGTCAAAATACCCAGCGTGACGGCCTTTGGATTTTGTTTGAAGTTGAAAAATCAGCGTCACATTCCATTGTTACCTTAAAACTAATGACTTCATAATAAAGATCATTGTCTCAGAAAGTGATTCATACCTGTCTCATCAAAATTGATGAAAAAATAATGATTCTACATCATTTTGAAAAATAGCGCGCTCCAAAAATGTTACGCGTGACGGCATATTTCTAACGTTTTGACCCACGAAGGATGCTCTAAAATGCTCTAAAATGAAAAATTCCATGTAAAATATACAAATGAGGTTTTAGAGGGTACCTATACGAAGATTTTGATATATAACATGAGTATGTTCGCTTTCCGAACTTTCCCGATATTTACATGGTAAGAACATGGAACGTCAAAATTTGAAATATGCCCCAGTATTGAACTTCGGTTCTATATTAATTGGACTTTTTCATTTGTCATAGATCCTTTTCAATAATTCAATTGCAAGTAGTATGTTTTTCCCAAGTCGAAATGGTTATGGAAGTAACAAACAAACTCAAATTAACGTACCGTATTTTCATTGGAATCCATATCGCCCTGATGGTCAAAACAAAAACGGTCGTATTGGTATGTATAATGAAATGTAGGACCAGGTTGTATATATTTGATTGATTTACACCTGTTAGATAAATTCTAGTTAGTTATTGCCTAGAGAATCGATTAATATTTTGATCATTTTGTCTATGAAATTGTCCCCATTACTTTCAATCGCCCATCAAATCGTACAGTATGCACGAAACGTGTACAACGTACATTCTGGGATATGCATCAATGACGGACATACCTGATATATGGTGACATAGAAGCGACGTGTATTTTAGCACCCGCGTCCCAATCTTTCTCGGAGCGAACGACTGGAGGACACACACCCTGATACTTCATTCTAAAACAGAATTAACATCTTTCACTTCTGACAAATAAATCTTACGTGGGCCCAAAAATAACGCCTGCCCCCTCCTGTCAGAACGTATCCAATATTTTACATTGACATGTGCAATGGTCGACTTATCAAAGGCTCTTCCATAAGTGATTAAATAAATAGAATATTACCTATAATCTACCCAAGCCCGATTATAATCTTTCGGTTCTATTTTTCCTGAGTAGACATCCCACATGTATTTTTCCACGGTATAGGCATATGGTAAAAATACAACTCTCCTCAAAGCCTCAAACAAAAGGTAGTTTATGTTTAACTCTGTAAATTAAAGATAAAAATGTCATTCGCGTACAATGGTAAATGATACGTATGTCCTAAATGTCTTTAATCACATTGGTCAGTTTGTATTTTAGAATATGTTGATCATTGATTTGGATACAGAAGGTCGGTTTAGATGTCACTGTAAGTGGAAACTGAGCTCAATACGTTGCGACGGGATCCAAAATATTCTGTTAAGAATGGCATTTCTTGGATGTTCAATTATGGAGCTTCGCCTGTGCAGATTGCGTAAATTGCAATCTCCAATCATTCACTGTTCAATGTCGGTCTTGAGTTTTTTAGCTGACAAATACAATTAGCAAAGTCAATATTATCACACACATTACCTTTCCACGCTTTACTTGTTTCATTTTGCAATTTCCATTTTCCTCCAAGAAACCCAGAGTAGTTAAGCATCTTTGGGTTACTGCTAAGCAAAGACATTGTGTCTCCAACAGCCTCGTGGAATCCTGGATTAGCCCCCTCGGAGTAAATATATGGCTGATCCTTATAGGCTGCGAAGTAAGCAATGTGACCCATTTCGTGGTAAATGGTAAACAGATCATTGGAATTGACATTTGTACACATTCTAAGCCTGCAATGTATATTTACTTTTTATAAATGTAATTTATTAGCTTCAAACTCAGCAACGAACAATTATTATCATAATCTTGTGATAATATTGGTAAGCTATAAAACAAAAGTGACTTGAAGTGACGTACATGTAACGCATACAGGCGCTTGCATTATTCAAAAATATGGTGTCTTTATTCGAATATTTAATTTATTGTTTAATGTTATATGTTTTGTTTGATTTTGCACTTTTCTACAGGGTGACACCAACAATGCCACCCACATAACGTTGCATAACGTTTTTGTCTGCTGGATATCTGAAATATTAAGCACATTCAAACTAGGCTCCATGGAGCAACTTCACAGAAGTTTCAGATGACAATCAACTAGATGCATTTTTACGAGCATCTCAAGATGCACTCTAAATGTCGTCCATTCCTTTGCAGACACACCAGAATTCTACACAAAAAATGCCACCACCTTTTGAAACATAACTTTTGTAATTACTTTTGAGTTTTGCTTGTATTTTCAGGGGAAATCATTCAATTGATTACAAAATTGTATAGTTGTCATTGATAAATCATTATACATTTTTTAAATTATGTTGCAAAATGTGGGTTGCATTGTATAGAATCCCGGTGTGCCTGCAAAGAATAGACGACACATCTTGACTTTTTTGTGTCAAACTTTCAAAGATTTTGTTCAATTGATGATTTGCGATCACTGGATGAATTACTTAAAGTGACGTCACAATTAGGCCACCCAGCTCTAGATGTTTGATTTTGAGAGATTATCTTCTATATTTCGTGCTTTATTGATTTATTTTTTATGAAAGCGTTCGATTTGACCAGATCAACATTCATGAATTTTCACTTTCTCAAAAAAATATTTCCTATATAAACATTTTATCGACATCGAAAAATTAGGTTAATTCTATATCACAAAATTTCGGATTTTTTTGAAAACTACGCTCAAATATAGGAGTTAATGACGAAGGAAGTCAAATTCTAACCTGAAAAAAAGATTTATACCATTATATAGCTATGTTTTAAAATGTCAGTTACTGATTCAAGTACGCACCTGTAATCATCTTTAAACAGATTAGTAGCTGATGCATGACAAAATGAAGATGATACGTTTATATGTGTAGGTCTTTTAAATACTGAATGGTTCCAAAATTGTTCCGTCATGTTGTCAAATCCTAAGCGAACAAAAAATTCTTCAGCCAATCGGGCCATCTTGATAGCCGTAAAATTGTTCTCCTGAAGATGTTCTGTCACATCTGCTCCAGTTATGTCTGGTGAAATCTTCAATATATCATAGATATTAGTCCAATGGAGTCCGTACATTTCTCCTGGAATATATCACACATATTAGTCAACTCGTTGCCATACATTTTCCCAGGAATATATCATAGTAATTAGTCCAATCGTTGCCATACATTTCTCTTGGAATATATCATACATATTAGTCAAATCGTTACCATACATTTCTCCTAGAACATATATCATAGATATTAGTCGACTTGATGCCGTTCAATTCTCCTAGAATATACAGGGTGACAAAAAAACTGGAACCCATAAATCATCAAATTTCTCGGGAAGTATTATACCTGCATTCTTCATTTCTTCAGTGTAGAAACTAGACTGAATGCATGACAAAATGACACCATAATGAGTACTGTAGCTTAGATATTAATCATGCCATGGACGACAGAAGAAAAGGACTTATATTGTGAGAAAGCATATCGAGACAAAATCCTATAAAGCGACACAAACTGCCTATAGGAGAGATCACAGGGCAAGAAGAACCCCTTGCAAGTCACAGATCGTTGGGCTTGTACAGAAGTTTGATTCAGAAGGAACTGTAAAACCAACAAAGAAAAAAAGTGGGGAGAGAGAGGTCTGACAAAACTCAAGACAACTCAACAGTCAACTCAGAACGTTACATCCCTATAACATTCAAAAGTTTTGGAAAGGGCTGGGTAGACGACGTGACTTGAGAAGAGACCAGCAATGGTTCCAACAAGATGGTGCCACACCCCACACCTCAAATGAATCCATTCGATGGCTTCAGGCTCACTTTGGTGATTGCTTAATCAGTCACCATACCCGCCACACCTGCCCCCCCCCCCAACTCCCCTGATTTCAACCCCCAAATTTTTATCTGTGGGGGTATCTCAAGGATAATGTGTATACAGATAGTCCACTGACCATTGATGACCTCAAACTCAACATTGGAAGACTAATAAGAGAGATAGACAGAAATGAATGAAGTCGGGTCATTGACAATTTTGCAAGAAGAATCCAGCTCTGCATCTAACGTCGTGGTGCACATATGGAGCACATTATCTAATCGTGCCTCATTTAGAGATTAATGGATCAAGAATGCAAAAAATTGACATTCAGTTGACTATACATACATGTACCAAATAACTAAGCCCAATATGCATAATTGACGAAGATATTAAGACTTAAGTGGGTTCCAGGTTTTTTTGTCACCCTGTATCATACTGCACTGTTATTATCCATATTCATGCGAATGTACATCAGTTGCATGAGACTGACCCACGCGAGCACTACTATTATTTATTCTTATGACAAAGCAATCAAGAGAATATATGTACCGAGGAAGGACAACTACCATCATCTTAATGTCCTAAAGTATACACATTTCAATGTCTTTTTAAACCAATTTACAACATTTTTAGCAGCATTTCTAAATTTCAGGGTGGGCCGAAAAACGTCCATATTTTTGCTTATGCTACAACGTTGTTGATATTACAGACTAATGTATAAAACATATATCATTGGAAAGACAATTCAATTTCTAACAAAATGATATATAATTAATTTCATATAAAGGAGTGTTCGTTTTAAGATATCATTTCGATTACCACAGGGTTCAAAATCAATTTATCAATTTATCAATAATTGCTGAATACAGAATGCTAAAAACTGACCAGACAGATAGAACCCCTTTGTCAGCTTTGGGAATATGATACTACGCATAGAAGGTCAAAATTGTTGATTCATATATCAAATGAAAGAAAATTGATTTGCAAATGCAATATTTTTGAGTTCTTTTGCCATTTTGGTAGGTATTGGCAATATAGCCTTAAATAATATAATGAAGTCTTATCAAATAGTTGAACACTTACTCATACAATTAACTCCAATACTTTTTTATATTGTATAAGCCTAAAAGTGTTGATTAAAGATGCATTATGCCATAGGTTTCTCCCTCAGACAATCAATGATGTCCTATTGTTATTGCTCATATAATATATCACAGCCAATGGATATATCTTGAGAATAACTCATTGGGTATATTATTGCCGAAATATTGGAAATTAATCAACAGAACAACAAAACTCCAGAATTAAACACAATCGATTTCTCGGCTAGCGAGGGGAATCCCCATTGAGTCACACAAGCGCCCAGAAGCGCATTGAACCAGGTAGCCAATCAGGTTTATGATAAACAAATTCAACGACCAATCAGATAACAAGAGGACTTTCCCGGTATATTCAAACTTCAGATTGAATTAATTTCTTCGAAAATAATAAGATTTGCCAGCACAATCGCAAAATTAACACTGAAAGAGGGGGATTTGAAACTTCTTCTTTAGTAAGTAAATGGGTATAAATGTGGTGAAACTCAATATGCAAAAAAAAGTCCAAAGGGGTCTTGATAGTCCTATCCTATGGCATGGAGCCTCTTTAAGCAATGTGATATTATGCAATAAGCTCAAAACATATTTCAAAATCTTGTTTTCTACTGTTCCTACCCCATGATACGGACACTCTCATGAAGTCACTAATAGCCATTCATATTTTATGAGCCATACGTCATCTTGTTGGATATTGAAATATCTTTCTAATATGGATATTCCCAACGTATCAGCAAAGATATTACAAAAACAAAAATATAGACGTTTTCTCTGCCCCACCCTGTACAATAGTATCAATGGCTATTATTATTATCTATCAAAATCCATATGTTATAAAATAAGCAAATGTGTAGGTTTTCTATTCATTCACTGATCAGTTAATTAATACTCACTCTTCGATATTTTATTGTAATTCAACGATATTCCTTTTTAAAACCCATGTTCATTAGTTGATTTACCTACAGGTGCAACAGGTGTTCTAATATTTTTTATCAGATATTCAAAACAGCCACAATATTTTATTAACCAGGATTTTCAAGACCAGTTTATTCTCATTAAAAGAATTTAATTCGCCTTACATTGCACAAGGGAACTCATTGGTTTTCGACACCATTTGTGCTTCCACACTTACCTAATATATGAGCGGGTATACAATCATTCCTAAAATCTTCATCTTTATATTTGTTTCCATATTTTGCTTTTAGTTTAAATTTGGCATATAAATGAAGGAGTTTATAAAGGTAGCATATGTCTCCGTAGAGCGCGTCCACTCGTTCAACTACATCATAATCAGGATCTCCGTCCTTGTACGTCTTTCTCGCAAATTCACCATAATCACTGTAGTCTGAAAATAGGTACGTACTTTCGGATGAACCTTACTTTACGATTATACATGTATATCTATTCGAGAATAATTGCTTTTTATCCAAAACTTTTGCTCTTGTTTTAAATTTGGCAACTTAAATTCTGACATTTGCATATCACCTGCTTCTCTTGCTGCAATATTTAAGAGTTCAACTGTTCGTGGAAAAATATCCCTCATTTGCCTCCCGGTCTGATCTCGCCAGTCTTTCCAAATTCTTGCAAGTTCATCATAATCTCTGGACCTTCCCATAACATCGATCAAATCATCAAAATCTAGATTTTTTCCGCTAACATCCACTTTGCCGCCATCATAAGCAGCTTGCATCGCAGTTGTAAGATCATTCAATTCACTTAAAGTAATATATCAATAAATCTTCATGTAGATATATCAATACACATACGTGAAGTCTTATTCAAAATGTGTTTTACAACAGGACTTGTTGTTTTTGATTTTACAAACTAAATTATAAAAACAGCGATTATATAAGTTATTGAATTATTTGAAGTGCAATACAGGATATATTCTGCTCGAGAAATTCTGTATTGTAACGAGACGAAGTCAAATCATTCAATAACGTTTTTATCGCGTGATCCTCTGTATTGCTACTGAGATTATCCTCTCCGTACCAATATTTTCTGTATTGCGACGGAGATGATCAACGGGGCCAATCTCAGTAGCAATACAGATTGGTACAGTACAAGAACTGACCAATCAGAGGGCTTCATTTTACAGATCATACGATAAATGAATGTATTGCCATTTTGGATATATTTCTTTGGTGTTTTATCTGAGTAAGGATATTAAACAAATATTTCATTTTATGGTGGACAAAACCAGTTCATCTTACAATCAATTTTGCAGTGTGTATTGTCCATAGATTTGGATCGGTGAGGATGCTGTAACTCACCTGTTTAAGGTTTCATTCTGGGGTTTCAAATTGGTTGATTCTAGTATTAATTCCCTTTGCCTACATATGTCTGGAGTTACTTCTTTTTCGCACGTACAGTTTCTTATCTCATTAAGGAACTTGTTCTGCCATTTTGTAAAATTCTTATTCCCTGCAATAGCCTGCAAAACAATACATTAGCAAGCCCCACATCACACGGATAAGCTCGATGAATATTTTGGATAAACGGTTCGTCACGAGTAGTTGGTCATCAAAGGAATTACTTACCCCTAATATATCAGCCATATTATATGTTTTCATCTGCCAGCTCCAAGATGCTTTGCTTATCATATTAGAATTGTCCTTCTTTTTATCACTGTAGTCCTGCAACCTATCAGCTAGCGTAGAACACCATGGCTCTGAATGTACTGAATATATTGAAATAACAAATTATTTGTATACCTGCACTTCATGGTTAGATGTTTATTTGCAAATATGTCAAGGCTTTTTGGACAACCCTCGTATCCAGGCATTCCATGCCACTTTCTAAACTCTAGGGATACAGTATTGCAGTTTAGCCAACATTGAGCTGAATGAACGGGCATTTTTGCTCTGACCTAGATTCAGGGAAATTGATTTAGACTACCTTGGCAATATAATAATTTCAAGGTAAAATATTTCAAAAAGACATCTAGCTGTTCCAATACATAATAGTAGGCAGTTTATGAGTATATCACATGAATTTCTTCTCCGCTTTCTACTTGTACATGATATTATTTTATACAATAGTCCAACTATTGTCCAATAATCTTTTAGAAATATTCTCCCTCATGTTTAATGCACAGTCGCTGGCATTCAACCTATTGACGATACAGTGCTCTGAAGCCATCTGGAAAACTTGTTTGAAGGGCCATTGTTCCATAAAGTGCACCTCATCCTCCATCCTAGTGGAAACAGCAAAATGGAGGATTGCTTCATCTGGAGAGTATTTAACTTGGGGCAGCGTTGCCATCTATTTTGCCAGTTATTTGTGATGGTGTTTTAGCAATGTGACTGGTGCATTATCCTGATGGAAAAATTTAGAGTTTGGCTGAATGGTTGTATTAATCAACTTACCATAGCATTATTCTTTGTTGATTTTCTGGCCCGGTGGTAAAGCATTGAGTAGCAGGATATCAAAAATGTTTATGAAAACTATGAACATTTTTCCCTCCGAAAATTTGTAATTTAAATAAGAACAATAGGTATCCTTCATTTGTACATATTGATAGATTTCTGTAATGGTAAATTGTGTGACGTAAAAAGTGCCCCGCCAACCCAAAAGTCAAGTTACGAGAGTAACCCTTATCTTGACCAATCAAATTACAGATGCTGATATTTTGAAAATCAATCAGAAAGTGTTTTTTATACATTGTGTGAATATATCATGAGAAAATCTCAAAAATCATTTAAATGAGAGCATTTTTTCGTGAACTTATTGAAAGAACTGAAATGAGAGCATTTTCCGTGAACTTATTGAACGACCTGGTATATTAATATAGTTTCTCATTACAATAACTAATAATAATGTACGATTGTATTTTCATAGTTGACGGTTTTATCTATCAGATCTAGTTATTGGAAATCAAAACACGTTCTATCAATTACATTTTGAAATAATCTACTAAGACACAAGCAGCTGAATTAAGTAATGACAAGAATGTAGGTGTAAGACTCGTGATCGATGCTTTACTTGTGAGATATACCAATACCACCAGTCCTGCCCATTGTTGCAAGCTTGTAGTCGAGACAATATGGCGACAAAGAGATGGAATAAAAGTTGTTACATCTTGCCAACCCCCTATAGATCAGATTCTGCCTTTAAATTTTGAGCCACTTCTGACTGCATAAGAGAGAGATTCTCGAGTTTATGTGACATAAGAACAGTAGATCTGGAGCTCGAGTCAATTGCTGTTCCCAGTTTTTTTTATTTCTCTGTTGCTTTCTTTCTTCCTCCCGGCAAGTTATCAAATTATTTAGCTCAAATGTCAGGAACTAGGTCAAATCTTACGTTTCTAACATTCTGTCGATTATCGTTGTCGTTATCTATCCTAATTAATTTATCATGTTTCCAACATGTAGCCTTAAAAGCCCTTTAATAAGTGAACCATCCGTTATTTGATCACTCCTACCGATTTTAAGATATCTTGTCCGAAAAATAGGTCAACAAAAAAGTTTTCCAAATTCAACATGTTAGGGATCAAAATTATGGAAACGTTTCTGAATCTGCAGTCAGAAATGTATGTAGGGTCTTTGGCGTTTAGGCACAGATGTCTCACAGACATTATTGAGTATACTTAGTATCCCAGGAGTAATTCTTCTACTTCTACTATTTGATTGTTTTTTCATGTCATTGGTCACACTCTGCAAACATCTCGAAATCCGCGGGAACTCATTTTTTGAAGTGCTCCAATTACATCTTTGCTTAAACCATATGAAGTTTGATAATTTAATTCAAGGTTAGCTTCTTTTTAAGTTCATTCTATCAAAATTCACCTCGAGCGATACAGGGGGATTATTGGGCATGCTCAGGTTGTGGCAGTTCCAGTTCCTCCACTGCACTGGTCGTCAGGAAGACTGTGCTCGGTGTGGTAGTAGTGTATATGTTATTATGATGCTTGGTTATTGAAATTCAGTTAGGTTTATCAAGTGGAGAAAATGATTATTTCTCTTGCAAAATTGAATTTGCCCCGGATGATGTCACACCAGGTTACCATGAAAACCACAAAATAAGCCAATCAAATAGTAGAAACTTTAATCTTAAGAAATTAGCATAATACTGTTTCGAAAGTTTTGAGAAGATTCATGCAGTGGCACCAAAATAGCGATATCTTCGATACTATTTCTGAATCACTCTGTACTTTCAAATACACTCAATTATTGACACAAATACTCGTATGACGCCATATTGGAGAGAAAATATATATTGGAAAGGTTTTTAAAGACATCATACCAGAAATACTTGTTCAAAATTAAATGGTAAAATGTTAGAACCTGCCTAACATGCAAGATGCAAAACGCTAGCTTGACAACAAACAATTTAAAAGATAAATCATTTTGATATCTGATAATGTTCCATTTATAATTCAGTGTGCGCCAATTAATGCTTGCTTATTTTATCAAAACAATTCGAAATAACTTTATGACTCTAATTTTATACACGAAGCATTTTAAAAACGTAACACCCTGTACTTCTATTTGCACTTTGTGCTCGTTGTCATACTACTTTGTGCTCATAATCTCAATTACATACTTACAGTCTATATCATTAACGTTGTTATCTGCTTGTCTCTTGACTATGCGTTTTTGAACAGACCGCATGTCATTTAAATCATCAAACGTCAATTCATTTCCTGATTCTAGCAACATCTTTACTCGCCTTGCTACCCGATTCTGTGATAATCCATGTGTAAAAGGCAAGAGCAAAAGCATTAGGATAAAAACGCTATAGTTCTGAGCTTGCATATTGTCCAACTATATCCTGAGAGTTGTGTGCAACGATAAATAGATAAATCGTTCAATCATCAGGTTCAATCATCAGTTATATAGTTATTGTATACAGATACAGCATCTTTCATTGTCAGTGCTTTAAGCTAATGCATGTAACATTGTTCCATCAATTAGTTTTATATCTGCTATACCAAAAAGTAATAAAATTCAAATAACTAACATTATCAATTAGTTAAACAATAAAACGCACAGAGATACAATAATTATCGCACGAATGTTTATTACATATGATATCAATCACGTTTTATCTTCGTTTGTAAAATTGATTAAAAACATCCGGAAAAATGAACAACTGTTGTTGAGGATACTTTATCTAAGGGTAGCAAGGAACAGGCTTGACTCATCTACTGTTATCATCATTTTTAATTAATTTCTAGTTCAAGTTATTAAAATCCCTGCGGAGTAAATACAATAGACTTTTAGATTTCTCGAAATAAATAAGGTGTTATCAGCAGCGTTTCTTTATTGAATATGAATTTTCTTCATTGGACACAATAATTATGTTACCATCTGCTCTGTTTCTGAACAAGGACAAATTAAAACAATTGTCAGATCAGTATATCCTTCCTGCGTACGTGGGCCTTAGAACATTACACAATGTAGATTGTAAATAGACAATGTGATTATACAGGGTGTCCCGTATTTTTGACTGTTGTGTAAAACTTAACAAATGTTGACGCAAGCCGTTGTATTTCTAATATTGTTTTTTTTGTAGTATATAAAAGTTATATGCCTGGGCCTGTAACAAAGTAGAAAGATGCCTTATATTTCTCTCAAAAAGTTCTAATGAGTTCTAGCACACCCTGTATGTTTGAGATAACAATGAGGCTAAATACCACAAATGTTGAATCGTTCTCTAAATATACTAACGCAACAAAGCCTGACTTCGGTATCACCAAATTGTATGACACGGATTGGCCTAAAAGTGGATGTATCCCTCTTCTAAAATATACCATAAATTCACCGAACGTAATTGATTCAAATGTGCGTAGCTTATATTTAGTCATTAGGGTATTCATTTTGATTAAAATTGACACATGGATATTCCTGGGGTATTCCATTAAATTAGAATTGACGCGTGAATATTCCATTTAATCGCATTGGGGTATTTCTTTCAAAAGAAATAAACACATGAATATTCCACTTTATCGATCAAATATGCACACTCCTCGTGTTTATATAATTTTATAAAATGTATTGCAAAGAACATGTTCTTAAAAGCTAATGCAATAAAGAGTATCTGATTGAAAGGCGACAACAAAATCGGGGACATTATCAAACTGCTATCATAGATTTGGTATTTGAATGCAAGAACACAATGGACTACAAAATTAATATAAACTTAACAATTTACTGAATGGAGGGTTCGCTATACTATAGTATATCTTTGAAATCCCGTTGAAATCATTATAAGGACCAACATTTTATCCATTTGATTGCATATTTGAATTTTTAATTTAACTAGATTTTTAATTTTCTATTAAAATACATAATCATAACATATCAGCCTTTAGCACAGGATTTCATTCTGTGTTTTCATTAACGAATCAACATTTAATTTGTCTTAAATGTCCGTAAAATGTAACATCTTATTCAATTTTCAGACAAGACATCGCTACGATGAGGTACAAACTGCCAACTCTCCTTGAAGTTCAGGACGATTGTTGGTGTACACCTCCACCAGTATGTTATATATGTTGTTATCAGCAAAATTCAACCAGTCTCGTGCTTCAGCTTCGTTTTGACAGAAACCAGAAAGTCTTCCGCAGCTTTTAGTGAAAAACATAAGAAATAGATGGCAGGGTTGTGAATAGGATCGTAATACTAGGATCCCGAAACAACTTACGATATTGCAATTTTAATCTGATATTAGGGAGTTTAAGCTTGCATATATAAAATCGAAACGCCAACCTATACGTATGACCAATCACCCATATAAATGCATCGCTTAAATATTTTCCGTTCACGTTTAGGTTGTAAAAACATTGCAAGCTTAATGATACGACGGTCCCCAATATAACCTTTTTGGAAAAAATCGAATGGATCAGTTTCCTTTAAAGACGATTTGGGTTTGATTGGATCAGGAATTTATAAAGCATGGAATTTTTAAATATCCATGGTTTACTAATAATCTCTCAAAAAACAAAAAAAGTTGTTGCTTTTATATTAGCCCAATGCTTAGGCCTGATAGTATGGATAATATGGCTGCCTAAGTGGAAACACAGTAGAAGGAAGGCTGTGAAGTTTTTGCAACTATTTGCGATTATTTGATGGATTTACACTAAATTACCTGGCCAACCATATTTATGAACATTATATGCTGGATTATACACGATATTTCTGGACATATATGAAATCTTTGAGCTATAAATTACGGATTTACATATTTGATTTCTGGACTTGCCATTTTATCACTGTATTAACCCTTCGCTGACCATGCCGCCTAAGAATAGGAACACTACTAAAAGTACATCTGCTGAAGCTGAACCTGATATACCTGATGAAGTCGTAACAAAAGCTGATTTGACATCACTCAAAGCCGATATCATCAGCGCAATGGAAACTTTATTCAAAACCAGCATTGATGCCCTCAAAGCTGAGAACACAAAGCTAAGAGAAGATGTCCAATCACTGAATGCTGAAGTGTCCAACTTGAAAGGTGATTTAAACAACATGAAAAGTGACATTAACAAGAACAATCAGTACTCTCGTAAGGACCAACTCATTGTCCATGGTATAAATGACACTAATGAGCGAAATGAAGATTGCATTAAAGCTGTATCTACAAAGCTGAGCACCATTATGCCAAACACCATCGTCACCGAAGATGATATTGATGTGGCTCATAGGATTAAAGGCAAAGATGGGAAACCGAGGCCAATAATTGTGCGATTTAGAAGCCGTAAACTTCGTGACCATCTAATCCGGACACGCAAGTCCCTTAAATCTACAGGAGTGTCTCTACATGAAAGTCTCTCCCCATTGAACAAGAATCTCCTGTGGCGCCTGAAACAAGCAACTAATGTTAAGGACGCATGGGCCTACAATGGTAAAATCTGGGCAATTGGACATATATCTGATCAAAGAAAACAGGTTGACATTACAGATGATATTTCATCTCTTTTCTGAACTTTCAACCCAAAGGGTTAATTGTGTCAGTATACAAATACTATAACATGTATAAGTACATGTTACCTTTTCTTCTCAAAGTTGACTCAGTGCCAATGTTTATAAACACTCATACACTAATTTTTGTTGTAATCACAGTGTGATCCTGAAAACCTTAATTTGTTTTCACACCAGTTCCTTTTGTTTGTTGAACCAACTTACAAACTTTGTGACCCATTCACAAAGGTTTTTCCCTTGCAAACCAAGCCAATAATCCTCCTTGGTGAAACACACTGGTCCTTTCTTATTTTATTGCTGCCAGACTCTGAACCACTTGCAAGATAGCAACTTAGTTGCCATCTATTATTTAACAGGTTAAAAACTTGTCATAGTCTTAATAAAGGTTCATTCACTTTGGCACTTACACACTTTGTTTACCTCTTCCTCATGAAACTTACATAGAAGAATGTAGCGTATGTACTCATCTTTCCATACCTCAACCTGATTTTTTTTTTTTTTTTTTTTTTTGTATATTTCTCTTATGCTAACTGCTTAAGGTCAGGGTGCATGATGGGAAATTTTCTGCATTCCTCAATTGAGTCACATGTTATTTTTCAAACAAGAATCACTCCTTCCCCATATTGTCTATATCTTCCAGTTGTGCACAAAGAGTGCTCTTATGTGCCTAGAAAAGACTTGTGAGAAGAATGTTTTGAAAAAATGTATAAAAAACAAGAAAATTCAGTGAAAAGATTCAGAAAATTTTCAGAAATTTTTTTCACTGAATTTTTTCGTTTTTTATAGATTTTACAAAACAAATCTTCTCACAAGGCTTTTCTAGGCACATAAGTGCACTCTTTGTGCAAACCTGGAAGATGTAGACAAAGTGGGGAAGGAGTTATTCTTCTTTGAAAAATAACATGTGACTCAATTGAGGAATGCAGAAAATTTCCCAACATGCACCCTGTCCTTAATAAGGCAATGGGCATAGATACTCAATCTTGGCGTAGAGCCATTGGTCTATTCAGTAGTATCTGCAGTACAAATAAATTACTTGACTCTCCCAAACCTAGTAAATGCCAAATGCTTCAAGTACTCTTTCAACTATTGACTGGATTACTATTGCTCCTTACAACGGTCAATGGTTTATTGCTTAATCTCTCACCGCATATGATTTCCTTAGTACTCATAACTGTGTTTATTGTTTATATAAATATTATGGGCTTCCTAGTCTTAAGTATTATCAATTATGTCCAAGTTGCATGTAGTGCAACTTCATATAGTTTGCGTAATATGATATATGTTATCACTTCATTTGTGCTTCTTATCATTGTTTTTACTCCTCAACTTTGCTATATACCCAACACCATTGAATCCTTACTTATTTTAAGTGGCGACATAGAATCACATCCTGGACCTCATAACTGGTCAACTGTAAAATTTTTGTTCTCCAACATAAATAGCATCAGTGCTCAATTTGGCGCTCGGTTTGATGCTCTTAAAACACGTATCTTAACAGAAGATTGCCAAGTTGTAGGTCTCTGTGAAGTCGGAACCTTTACCCAAGATGAAATTACCAATCGTTTTTCCATTCCTAATTTCCATCCTCCAATTTACTCGGCTAAAAATCGTGGCTTACTTATCTATATATCTGAAGAAATCCCTATTATAGCTCGACATGATTTTGTTAATGCTGAGGGAGATGCCTTATTTATTGAACTTAAGCTCCACCACAAGAGCATTATATATGGAGTTTTTTACCGTTCCCCTTCCCAAGATACTCAACAGTACAAAGCATATTTTAAAAGATTTTATGATACCTGCTCCAACATTTTGACTAATGCCAATGCTGACCTGCTTGTCATTAATGGGGATTTTAATGCTCGTAACAAAATTTGGTGGGATGCTGACAATGAAAACCTTTCTGGAAATGAGCTTAATAACCATCTCCAAAGTCTGGGTTTTTCGCAGTTAATTGACCAACCAACTCGCGTCACAAATAGAAGCCAATCCTGCATTGATCTTCTTATTACTAATCAACCAAATCTTATATCCTCTTCAAATGTTACACCTCCAATCGGAAATACTGACCACAGCACTCTAGTCTGTACCTCATTTATTGGTACAGTAAAGGAACTGCCATATTTCCGTAGAATTTGGTCATATTCCGAGGCTGATGTTCAAAATATCAACGACTCAATTAGAAATTCAAAACTTGATCAACTTATTGAAAATTCATATGATATGGACATGTTATGTGATCAATTTACTAACCAACTCTACCAAATATTTACTAATACCATTCCAAATAAACTTATAAAGGTCCGGAGCAATGATAAACCATGGTTCAAGCCTCACATTAAAACACTAATTAATAAACGGAATCGTCTACATTTCAAATACCGCCACAACAACAATCAAGAACGCTATCAAAAGTACATTGACCAGTGTGATATTGTTGACGAGGAAATAACAAAGGCCAAACTTGAGTTTGAATCACACATGTATGAGAAATTAAACTCCCTTAAATATGGCAGCAAGTCTTACTGGTCGGTCATATCTAAACTTTTATTCAAAACTAAAGTTGTTAGGATTCCTATTTTGACCAACCAAAACGGCTCTTCTATACTCACCAGCACAGAAAAGGCTAATTTATTTCTTGACCATTTCATCAAAAATTTTCATTCTGATCATAACGTAGATACAGACAGTGTTCAATTTGACCTTAGAACTGATTCTTTTTTAAATATCCTTTCAACAAATGACAGAGAGATTTATGAAATTCTTTTATCACTCGATGTTAGCAAAGCTTTAGGTCCTGACAAACTAAGTAATAAAATGCTCAAGTTAGCAGCTCCATCTTTATCAAAATTATTTTCAAAATTTCTCAATAAGATGTTTGAAATGAGAAAATTTCCTAATTCCTGGAAACTTGGGAATATTATCCCATGCCATAAAAAAAGTGACAAAAATCTTGTTTCTAATTACCGTCCAATAACTCTATTAAGCTGCCTTTCAAAGGTAGCCGAGAGAGTTATTTTTAAAAGGATGTTTGACCATTTGCTAACAAACAATCTTCTATTTAATTTTCAAAGTGGATTTCTCCCAGGTCACAGTACACAACACCAACTACTAAGTATTCTTGATTTCTTAACTTCTAATATGGATAATGGTAATGATGTTCGTGCAGTCTTTCTTGATATATCGGCCGCCTTCGATACTTTACCCCATAAGCTATTACTTAAGAAGCTACATGCATACGGTTTTGGTCCAAATATAATGCTACTTATTGAATCTTATCTTACCAATCGAAAAGTAAGAGTGCTTATTGACGGTCACGAATCTCCATGGTCAGCCAGCGACTATATCAATTCGGGAGTTCCCCAGGGGTCCATCTTAGGACCTCTGCTATTCTTAGTTTACATAAACGATTTACCTGATGATATTTTAAGCAAGTGTTTTCTGTATGCAGATGACACTTCTCTTTATCAGCCCTTCAGCCATGATAATATGCCTGAATGTATAAACACCCTCCAATCTGATCTAAATTCTATAAACAATTGGTCTGATAAATGGCAATTAAAATTCAAACCCTCTAAAAGTGATGATCTGACATTTAGTAGTCCAAAAAAGAATGAAATAATAACCCCTGACCTAAAATTGGGAACTGAATCCATACCTAGGTGTGCTTCGCATAAACACCTTGGCTTTATCCTTGACTCTAAATTATCTTTCAATTTCCACATTACTCATCTTGCAAAGAAAATTGATAAGCTTTTAAATCCACTTAAAGCATTAAGTAAAAAACTTAGTGGAAACCATCTAAATCTTATGTTCAAATCTTTTATCTTACCACATTTTGATTTCTGCGACATCCTCTATGGATGTGCAGATATTTCCAAATTAAAACGCATTGACCAACTCTACTACAAGGCAGCTCTGATTTGTAGTGGAACTATTCATGGGTCATCTTCTGAAAAGGTGCTCAATATTCTAAATTGGCCTAAACTAGAGATGAGGAGGAAGTTTCATCGACTAACCCTCATGTTCAATGTCCAAAATCAGAAAGTTCCTTCATATGTTCAAAACATATTTGATAAATATAAGAGACAACAACCTCCTCTCTATTTGAGAAATCCAACTGAATTTGTCTTGCCCGCTAAAAGATCTGTGATATTAAAGAAAACATGCATTTTTACTGCTATCTCAGAATGGAACAAACTACCCCAACAACTCCAAGAGATAGACAATTTAAGTACTTTCAAATCTAAATTGACTCTTCTCATTTATCCAGAACCTATCATATCATCTACCTCATTGCATTTACCTAGACCAGAGGAAATCAGTCTTAATAGGACTAGAGTCGACTTGGTTTTTCAATCTCATTTTCATGCCCACAACTTTACTCTAGCTGATACACCAAAATGTAAGTGTGGATTCAAAAGTGAAACATCCAAGCATGTCATCTTTAACTGCAGACTCCGTAGGACCCTCCTAACTGACTTCGAAATTAAACTAAATAACCTTGAAATCCAATATAAAAAGAATTTTAAGACCCAACAAGAGAAATTGAATTTCTTTCTTTTTGGCAGCTCAAAACTTAACTACGCTACAAACATAACTGTTCTTGAAACTAGTGCCTCTTTTCTCCAGAAGTGTGTAAGTGTCTGAGTGTTAGCAGCAATTATCAAACCTTCTATGCTTAATTTATTCACCAATTTGCTTCACCAATTGGATTGTTTTTTGAAATAAAATTTTATAATTAACCCTGCGACTTATAATGTTAAACAAAGTCGCCTTTTTGGAAATTTTCTTTTTACATATATTATTGTATTAAAATAAAACATGATAAATAAAAAAAAAAGGCCTGATAGTAAAAGTGAAATGAGTGAATGAATCAAATTTTAAAAATTGTAAACTGTAGTTCGTTTAACAGGTGGGCAATCTCAAGCTTCTGCAATTTACAGTAAAAACTATTTTTGTAACAATGCAATTACTGATGAAGCAAGTTATGCTTTTTACCGAAGTCAAAAGCACCCCCTCCCCCTAATATTTATATCAAAATAATATGGTACATAAAAGCTCAATGTATAAAAACCATTAACACAAAGGTTGTCATGTAATTTGGTAACTAATGATAATATTATAAAAACTACATAATACCTATGTGATGGGTGTGGGTTCGTTTAGGGTACAACATAGTAAAATGACAATCCTCGATATCTATCGGTCATTTTCAGAAATATTTCAGTGATTGGATGGATAACAGTTTGTACCTGTTCATTCCCCCCGTACTGCTCCCATGGATATTAGTATTAAAGAAGACAGTACTAGCTTCTGCGAAATACTCCAGTTCATTGCTCATGGCGTAGGATCCAGTGTCCCATATACCCAAGGCGAGTGCATTTTGGTACGCTAGCGAGATCTGCATGCGCATGAAAAGTAACGAAATCAGTTCATGAAAAAAAATTATTTGTTGTACAAGATCTAGAAATATCAGAGAAACATATATATTTCTTCACGGTGCCCGAATATGTACCCAAAACTGGGACCAATCTTTTGAAATAAGTTACATTTGTAAGGAAACAATTTTCAAGAAAAATGTTACTTATTTCTTAGAGATCAACCAACAATTTAAAAAGTGAGCCAAAATTCTAAAATCCATTTTCTGAAGATCCATACCTCTGTTTGAACATCGACAGGTAATGCGTATTGGTGGTATGTATGAGCAAACTCATGTGACAACACGTTAAACGTTGACCTATATGGGTCATTGCTATTGCACATGATGTTGTCATCTAAGCAGGTCGCTCTCCGGCCACCTAAGCCAGCAAGAGAGTCATATTTTCTCCCATCACTAGTACAGGTATTCGAACAATCAAATTCACAGGTTCCTAAAATTAAATTGAAGTCGTTGATTGACGTGCTTGTTAACGTATTTGTTCGCAGACCTCGGTCAATTGCAGGTTTAATTTGGCAAGATAAGCCCAAATCAGTTTTATTGTTCTTCTTTCTATGTTAACATAAAAAAATCCTTTGAATTTTTTCAATTGTGCCAAATCAGACAGCTGAATATGAGCCTTAACCTCCAATATTTTGAAAATATATCAGGGTCATTGTTACACAAGTTCGACAAAATAGCATATACTGAACATACTTTTCGAGCAGTTTTCAAAGGACCGCGAGTTGTTTGTAGAATGAGTTGTGCATGATATAAACCAAAACAACCCAATAAGGCCATAAGAAGTAGATTCTTTGTTTTGAGACTCCTTGCTTGCACGATTTTTAGTAAATCAGAAAAAACAAACATATCAAAATAGCAATCGCAAGGGTCTGAAAGTACCATCGCATTTCGTTCAATCAGAATCAGACGAAATGGCGGATAATTTGATGTGCGTCAAAATTGACAGTGTTAGTGATTGCCTTGGCATACATTGTGTATTTTCTTATAAATATTTACCCTTGAATAATAGCTATGTTTAAATATATTGTATAAAATGTATAGAATTGGTATGTCATCCTTTTTATGCCCATAAATGTATTCATTTCTTAGCAAACAAGTTTGTGTTTTCTTGAGTTTGTGTTTGTTTTCCTTGTACCCTTGCATGGTTTGGATTTTGCCTGAAATGACTGTACCGTACAACAAAACTGAAAAACACTGAGTTCTGCGGTAAATCCTTCAGTCTATTTTTATAAGTTATTCATTCATTGAACAAAAAATACAACAAATGTTGAGTGTCATGGTGGCTGTGCTAATGGAAGAGTGGGAGCAATACTAAGAGCAAATATTAAGCACGTTAAACAAGAGCAACATACAAAGATTTCAATCAACGATAATATAAATGAAATGCAAGTGGCATATAAAAAAGGATGGGATATTACCTTCACATTCGGGCCGGTCGCGAAGGTGTTCATACTCAGGGTAGACTGTGGACCCCTCCGTTCTGATGAACAGTCCCACTCGTCCGTTATTGGCCAGCTCCTCAAAGTAGCTCTCTGGCGCATACCTCAGCATATTTGCGATGATTCTCGATCCCTGGAATGGTAGATAAATGAAACAGATATAGAACAATGATTTAAGGTGAGATATATATTCTTCATACTTTTTTATTAGTCCAAATATGCATGGGTCCGATGATTGAAAAGAATACGCTTTTTCAGTTGTGTATACAGAGTGTTCGTAAACTACGTGTTCTAAAAACACATACAGACAGCACTTATATTTTAAGGAGTAATATTTAGAATGTGCAAACATATACTTAATCAAGACACTGTGGTAAAGAAATGCTATATCTGGTCCTGGTCCTGGTAGGTAGATGACTAATAACATGTTTTCCTTGAATAAGAGCCAAACCAATAGAGCGCAGTGTCACAGACCTTAGTGTCTTTAGCAGCTTACTATCATATGTGCATTCTGGGATACACTCGTCGTGGCAGCAACCTCTATGCGTATATCCACCCCATTGTTCTCATCAAAAATACTGCCATCCATAGCCACCCATTTAAATTTGAAATTGGCGTCTAAAGCTGCCGTTCTGCTGATATTGACAGGTGCCGATGGGAAACTAAAGAAAAATGTTTTAACGTGCATCAGTATGTAGTAAACGCATTTGATGTAGTGCTCCCCCATTCCTTCTATTTAATATATAGTCTGGGAGCAAAAGTCCAAATAAGAGGTTCTGTGTCCTTTTAAGAGGCGAGCTAAGCGACACATATTTTTATGAACTATACGTGATACTTACCAAGACAAATGATGTTGGCAATTCTGGATCCGCGACGGCGTTGCTATGGTAACCAAGTGAATAAGCCATGCCCACTTATAGGTAATTGATAATGCAATCAAAATATATTATATATCCGCAGCAGCGTCACTATGGTAACAAAGTAAATATGCCACACCCATTTTTAGGGGCTCCTTTCAGTGTTTTGCCCATATCTTCGTCATTATTGCTCAGCTTTAGATGAAATTTGCACCAAATGAAAGGTAATAGATAAAGCAATCATATATTTTATAAAATATGCAATTAGGGTAATTTGCATCTTAATTATGACGTCATAACTGTTTGTTCTTGCATATTTTATCTTAATCCGGATGTATAACTCTGTGAAATTACTGTATTTAAAATGGTCAGTAATGCTTTCATCTAGTTTATGTCTTTTAGTTGAGTTTATAAGTTTATTTCATTCATACATGTATGGTCATAGTAAAATTGAATAAATGTAATGAAATATGTCCAATTCAAATAAAAAATGTTCAATTCACACTGTTGCTATGGTAACATCATGTAGCAAAACTGTCTGCTGTAAACAAGAATTCTTTAGGAAATGTTACATTTTGACCAGTTGACTGACATGTATTCTTTTCAAAATGTAATGACAAAATAATCTTATAACTATAGAAAATTATTTGATTTGGATTGTGTTATGTTATTATGTCATAAGGGCAATTATTAATCAGGGATGCAGCCAGCTTTCAGTCGGGGGGGGGGCGATCGTGGCATAAGCAACCCAAAAACGTTTTTAAGATGAATTTTACAAAAATTGATGCAACTTCCTTCAAAATTGAGCTAGAAGCTTCAAGTCAAAAGCATTTTAACCCAATAATGACAACAGATTGAATGCATTAGTATTTTTTAAATCATTTTTATGTTTTTCTAACCTGGGTAACATAACTACGAAAAAAATTGTTTTTGTTCTTGAGGCATCCCAAATACGGGATATAGACACAAGTGCCCATGATAACATTTTGGGTTAAGAGGTTATGATTTCGTGGTTGTAAAACCAATTTATAATATCATAACTTTAACAAACATGTAATTTTACACTGTCATTAACTAGAACTTAGTCTGTTTGTTATAATTCAATACTAAATAGGCCCCAGTGACATTCAAAAGCACGGCAGTGATCCGAAAAAGCACCCCAGTGCCCCAGAGTGACCCCCAAAAGCATTCTAGTGGCCCCTGTGCCCCCTCCCCCCAAGCATACTTGCAGCTCCTATGACTCCCAAAATCACCCTAGTGTCCCCCAGATGCCCCAAAAAGCATCCCAATAGCCCCCAGATGCCCCCCAAAAGCATTATAGTGGCCCCATGTGGTCCTCAAAAGCATCCTAGTTGTCCCAAGTGGCCCCCAAAAACAAATTAGTACTGCTATGAGGCCCTCAAAAGTATCCTAGTACCCCTCTGTGACCCATGACATCATCCCAGTGGCCCCCTGTGGCCCCAAAACGTTGCCCGAAAATAGTCTAGATGAAAACAAAGGATTTATCATTGAACCTTGTTTTGGAGTATATACAATGTTTTATTGCATTTTTTGATAGTTAGACATGTCCTGGTCAAAAAGCCACAAATATGCAGTTGTGGTAGGTTGAGTGTTTTTTTCTATTGTCTTTTTAAAATTATGTAATATTTCTGAAAGGGGGCGTGGCACATTTGGTAGTATTCATCTATTTAAATGGAGTTAAATATCCCTTATCAGTTATTTTTGTTTAATTTATGACTTGCAATAAACATATCTACCTGTGAATATTCTCTCTCTGAAAAAATACAGTAATTATGCAAATTAAGTCATTAAATCAACACTACCGGAACAATGTAAACAATGTAGAACAGAGATTTGGTATCATTGTAAATCTAAGAATATAAATGTGTTACAAGTGGAGTTAATTTCACTTGAATAACATAACCCTAAATTAGAGTAGAATAAATACGATCTAGTATTTCAATTATGAGTATAGGGGTAAAAGAAGTGTATAACAACTGTGTTTTTATGCATATTAATTAGCTTACTAATTAACATATAAATTTTAATTCCTTTTTTTACATTAACTCAATTTGATTATTTTAAAAATAAACTTCATTATAGAATATTGATTCCAAAAGATACCCCGTTCCGTTATTGTGAATTCGTATCTTTTCAGAAAAAACTATTATTCATAAATGGCCAATTAGTATTACTGTATAATATTCTGAAGAAATAATTTTGCTCCTAGACACCCTGCTCTTGTTATAGATACTAACAGGACTAATACGCTACATATGAACACCGTAAATGGTTGAATTCTATCTATTCATTAACGATAACCTGTGTGGCATTTTAATGTTTAATGTTGCAAGATTATCTTTTAATGTAAAGTTGGCATTAATTTTTGTCACTAGTTTGTCCATATGAGCTAAAACTCATTGATCATAAAAGAGTATACCGTTTCTACTTTTCTCATTTATTAAATTGTAATGTAATCCATTTCATTCTGACACTAATCCTATTTTATTTAAGATTTAAATTCTAAAAATACACTTCATTATAAAATATTGATTCTAAAAGATACATAGTTGCTTCATTGAGAATGAGTAACTTTTCAGAAAAAAACTATTATCAAGAATCGAATTAAATGGGCAACTACTATGTTTAGATATTTAGATGAAACGATTTTGCTCCTAGACATCCCGCCCTTGTTTTAGATTTGAATGGGACTACTATGCTACATAGGTCTACATGAACACAGTAAATGGTTAAATCCATTCTGATACTCATCACATATTTCTGCCTTCAATGGGCTAAATCTTACCTAATTTAATTTATGAACTTTTGAGGATTTTGACAGGGGTTCGCACGTATCACCACGTGCCCATATATGGGACAGAATATCGGTGTTGCACTCTGGGAGCCAATCCTCCTTGACCATTTAGCGCATACTGTTGTTGTTATTATTATTATTATTATATCTTGGTTACCGCCATATTTGGCGAGCAATACCTCATTGGTATATTCCGTATTTTACGTATTTTACACTCGAAGATAGAGCCAGAAACCTCTCCTTGGAGGAGCCCTGTTTTCTTTTATGTGTCGTGAACCACTCAGTCAAACACCCAGAATTACATAACGCACAAACAAACTTGTCTGAACCGGGAATCGAACCCGGGGCCAAGCGATATTGGTAACCTTGACTCTCTCTGCCACTGAGCCATAGCGGGTGGACTGTTAGGATTCATGCATTCAGTTTCTAGTGCCTTCATTTTTCTGCTACATGCAAGTAGAACATTGCACCTGATTGATGCCATATCCCACAAACTCCCCCCCCCCCCACTTATCATCCTCCTAAGCAGATGTACAGAATGCGTACCTCCTTCTTCCCCCTGCAATTACCAATTTGGGAGCGCCCAATTAAACTGAATCTCATTATCTATTTATGCGCAATGAGTTATACATGATTTATGTTGCAGTGTTGCGACAGCCAATCAGATTACGAGTTCTTGATCGGGGAAATGCTAACTGCTTATCGCAGGGGTTAAAAAGCAAGAATATATTCTGGATTTTGAAGCCCTTTGATCCGAGGATGCCACTTACAGAATCTTTATTAGTTAAGCTAGCATGTTGAAACTCTCCCCAAATATACTTCATTCAATTATCTACTTTTACTATATGGTGTAATAACTTTTACATCTATGATGATTTAAGATTGTGTAATTTTATTCTCAAGACAACACGTTTTATTTATTTTAATTTTTTTTATTTATTTACTAAATTCCAAATAATACAAATACAATTACAACAGTCGAAGACACCCCAAGGGGCATATGATGCCTTTTATACTAAACAAAAAATATTGACAAGTAGCAAAACTCATACAAGTAATCAGTGCTCATTAGAATTAAAAATCAACACTAAATCTTTCACATTTGGTTGGCCCCATCCTCCATCCTCCTCAATCCACGCTATAAAAGTGAATTTTTTACTCCAGAGATTTTTCTCCAGAAAAGTTAGACCTTGATTAAAGGCAGAATCAGATCTATGGGGTGACAAAATTACAAGCAACATGTATTATTGACCTACCAATCTATTCCTTACAATCTCAAATACTATCTCCCAAAAGATTCACAATATGTTATAAATCAGTAAAGTTACAGATTCAATCTGAAAAATGGATGAAAAATGTTTAAATTCTCCCAAATAATAAGAATGGTCACCATTCCTATAGAAAAATAATACATTATTGTAAAAATCTTTAGTTTTCCTAAAATAATGTGTATACTTTGGGGTTTTTTAGAAAAAAAACATGAAAAGGAATGACATAAGCCAGAAATATTCTAAAATTGAAACAATTTCTTTGCTAGGCTGCTCACTAGATCTGATTCTTTCTTTAAGTATAGATGTTAATTGTTGAGCAAATGTAATTTTAAATTCTTTTTGAAGGTAGAAAGAGTATAAAAATGAGTAATTTTATGAGGTAAAGTGTTCCACAGGTCTGACCCTGTCTTCCTTATAGAGTATTTTCCTATGTTTTGTTCTGAACGTACTAGATCTAAGATTGTATACTTGTCTGGTTTGAATGTGGTAGAATTAGTGATTCTGAGTTTATATAATAAGGTTTTGTCTCTTGGAGCTGATGATTACACCATAATAAATTAATTACCCTACATATAATTCTGCATATCTCTACCTCCAGCTACTGAGAATTTGAAGATTCTACCTGATGCCTTTAAAAAGTTTTAGAGAAAACCTTAACTGTGAAGGCCTTTTGTACACCCCCCCCCCCCCTAAGAGCCTCTAGGGTCAATTGCTAATGAGATGATTAGTTAATAAATCCATATTTTGCATACAAGATTTCAATTGTTTATATTACATTTTAGCAATATTTAAAGCTTAAGACTGCTTTGCTATATTGATGAAGTATTTTGCTGACATCAGCACATTATATTTCGAATTAAGTTGACATCTTAGTTAAAAGAGTAACCTTGTTCTTTAAAACATTAATTTTTGACCATTCAAGTCCAAATTTATGGTTGTAAATTGATTAGATATGTAAAATCAATTGAAATGAGAAAAATAACTATTACCATTGACTCAGCACTTATCACAGCATTAATTTTTATCTGTTTCAAGGTTCAGTTCAAAGTTAATCATGTAAATGTGAAATGAAATCACTAAAACCATGTAAAAGCAAGTATATAAGTTCTTAAAACTAGATTCTTAAAATCCCTACTTATGGAATATTACAAATTCTGCTGACCTTGCAGAAAAAATGCTCAAGGTAACATTACTGCATATATGTCAAATCTTCATCAGAACACATCAGACCAACATATTATGCATTAAAACATTGTATATACTCCAAAACAACCCCCCTTGGCTTTCTTCTAGATTAAACGCATCTCAGTGGCCCAAAGTGGCCTCTAAAAGCACTCCAATGGCCCCAAACTCATTCTAGAGGCCCCAAAAGCTTCCCAGTTGCCCCCCAGTGACCCCCAAAAAGTGACCCCCAGTGGCCCCCTAAAAGCATCCTAGTGGCCCCTGAAAGCATCCCATTGGCCCCCTGTGGTCCCAAAAAGCATCTCAGTGGCCCCAGGTGGCCTCTAAAAGCACTTCAATGGGCCCTAAAATCATTCTAGTGGCCCCCAAAAAGCTTCCCATTTGCCGCCCCAGTGGCCCCCAAAAAGCATACTAGTGACACCCAGTGGCCAAAAAAGCATCCAAGTTGCCCCATTATGCCCCCTAAAAGTATCCTGGTGGCCCCCGAAAGCATCATTTTGGCCCCCTGTGACCCCAAAAAGCATCTCAGTGGCCCCAGGTGGCCTCTAAAAGCACTCCAATTGGCCCCTATGGACCCCAAAATCATTTTAGTGGCCCCCAAAAAGCATACTAGTGACACCCAGCGGCCCAAAAACGCATTCAAGGGCCCCATTATGCCCCCTAAAAGCATCTAGGTGGCCCTTGAAAGCATCCTATTAGCCTCCAGTAGCCCCCAAAACCATCCTAGTGGCCCCCTGAGGCCGCCAGAAGCATGCAAATGGCTCTTCATGGCCATCAAAAGCAGCCTGGTGGCCCCCTGTGACCCCTAAAAGCATCCCGGTGGCCCCCAAGCCCTAAACATATTCCAGTGGACCCCCGTGGTCATGGGGATGGCATATTCACCTGGTTACCATAGCTAACATAGGCATAGCCAGGGGGTGTAATGAGTGCACCCCATGTAACCAATATGTAACCAATAAAAATAGAACCATTAGATAGAAGAGTTTTAAAATGCATTTGACTCGAAGCTTCAAGCTCAGTTTTGAAGGAAGTTGTATCAATTTTTGTAAAATTAAACAAAATCCCCTCCCCCCCACTGAGAGCTTGCTGCGCCCCTGATTAACAATTGCCCTTATGACATCAAAATATAACACAATCCAAATTAAATGATTGTCTATAGTTATTAGGTTATTTTCTGTCATCAAATTTTAAAAAGAATACATGTCAGTCAGATGGCCAAAATGTAACATTTCCTGAAGAATTCTCTTGTTTTCAGCGGATTGTTTTGCTACTTGCTGTTACCATAGCAACAGCGTGAATTGGACACTTTCATTACATTTATTCAATGTTTATGACCAAACATGAATGAATGTAATAAACTAATAAACTCAACTAAAAGAAATAAACTAATTAACTAGTTTCAGATTCAGAATTGCCAACTTAATATATTTTTAGTGTGTTATCTATTACCTTCCATTTGGTGTGAATTTCATCGAAATCTGAGCAATAATGAAGGAGATAAGGGCCAAACACTGAAAAGAGCCCCTAAAAGTGGGTGTGGCTTATTGACTTGGTTACCATAGCAACGCCGTCGCGGATTCAGAATTGTCAACATCATTTTTCTTGGTAAGTATCACATATAGTTCATAAAAATATATGTCGCTTAGCTCGCCTCTAAAAAGGACACGGAATTACCTTAGCTCCCATACTAATATATATTCATCATCTATACCACTCATCATCCTATCCTCCCATCAGCTTATTCTCCAAATCTCCCAATCATCACATCAACCAACTCCCATAAGACCACACGTTCATCCTCCCATCATCACAGTATCAACCATCCATAAACCACCCTCTCATTCTCCTATCATCACAGTAGCAACCTCCCATAAGACCACCCGTTCATCCTCCCGTCATCACAGTATCAACCATCCATAAACCACCCTCTCATTCTCCTATCATCACAGTAGCAACCTCCCATAAGACCACTCGTTCATCCTCCCATCATCACAGTATCAACCATCCACAAGGCATTAACATGACAAAATGTCACCACCTAAAACAATTTGGTCAATTTAAAGCAAGTTGGAAAATACCTTTTGACCTTAAGAAGGTTTGATTTGAACTTCTTAGAACATGTAGATGATTTTGAAAAAAAAAATCGTCAATTTGAAGCAAGTTGAAAAAATCCCTCTTTGACTTTTTTTGACATTGAGAAGGTCATTGAAGGTCAAATGTCAAATGTAAAGTCAGATTTGAACTTCTGAGAACATGTAGATGATTTTGAAAAAAAAATTAAGTAAATTTGAAACAAGTTGAAAAAAGACCTTTTTGACCTTGAAAAGGTCATTGAAGGTCAAATGTCAAATCTAAAGTCAGATTTGAACTTCTGAGAACATGTAGATGATTTTGAAAAAAAATTAGTCAATTTGAAGCAAGTTGAAAAAAGACCTTTTTGACCTTGAGAAGGTCATTGAAGGTCAAAGGTCAAATCTAAAGTCAGATTTGAACTTCTGAGAACTTGTTAAAGTCAAATTTGAACTTCTGAAAAGATGTAGATGATTTTGAAAAAAAAAGTTGGTCAATTTGAAGCAAGTTGAAAACATACCTTTTTGACCTTTTTTGACCTTGAGAAGGTCATTGAAGGTCAAATGTCAAATCTAGAGTCAAATCTAAAGTCATATTTGAATTTCTGATGTAGATGATTTTGAAATTTTTTTTAGTTAATTTGAAGCAAGATGAAAAAAGACCTTTTTGACCATTTTTTGTGACATTGAGAAGGTCATTGAAGGTCAAATGTCAAATCTAAAGTCAGATTTGAATTTCTGAGAACACGTAGATGATTTTTAAAAAAGTGTTTAGTCAATTTGAAGCAAGTTGAAAACAGACCTTTTTGACCTTTTTTGACCTTGAGAAGGTCATTGAAGGTCAAATGTCAAATCTAAAGTCAGATTTGAATTTCTGAGAACACGTAGATGATTTTGAAAAAAAAATTTAGTCAATTTGAAGCAAAGTTGAAAAAAGACCTTTTTGACCTTTTTTGACTTTGAGAAGGTCATTGAAGGTCAAATGTCAAATCTTAAGTCAAATCTAAAGTCAGATTTGAATTTCTGAGAACACGTAGATGATTTTGAAAAAAAAATTTAGTCAATTTGAAGCAAGTTGAAAACAGACCTTTTTGACCTTTTTTGACCTTGAGAAGGTCATTGAAGGTCAAATGTCAAATCTAAAGTCAGATTTGAAGGTCAAATGTCAAATCTAAAGTCAGATTTGAATTTCTGAGAACATGTAGATGATTTTGAAAAAAAATTTAGTCAATGTGAAGCAAGTTGAAAAAAGACCCTATCATTCTCCTATCATCACAGTATCAACCATGCATAAACCACCCTCTCATTCTCCTATCATCACAGTATCAACCTCCCATAAGACCACCCTTTCACCCTCCCATCATCACAGTATTAACCATCCATAAACCACCCTCTCATTCTCCTATCATCACAGTATCAACCTCCCATAAGACCACCCTTTCACCCTCCCATCATAACAGTATCAACCATCCATAAACCACCCTCTCATTCTCCTATCATCACAGTAGCAACCTCCCATAAGACCACTCGTTCATCCTCCCATCATCACAGTATCAACCATCCATAAACCACCCTCTCATTCTCCTATCATCACAGTAGCAACCTCCCATAAGACCACTCGTTCATCCTCCCATCATAACAGTATCAACCATCCATAAAACACCCTCTCATTCTCCTGTCATCACAGTATCACATCGTCACATCACATCGTAATTCCATCCTCCTATCATCCCATCATCATCAGTCACCTCCCATAAGACCATCCTCTCAGCATCATATCCCCCTCCTCATATCCACCCATCAGCCCATTTTCCATGGCCAGCCCCTCTAATTTCAGCAGTCTGCTTCAATTCGTATATCCACCAGGAAGAAATTTACTCACTTGACGTCATCAGCTTGAAACGGTATACCGACTTCTTCATATTCTTGTACATTGGTTGGTGCTCCAAGACTACCTGGAGGTAAATCATGCATTCAAATAAAGCCCATATATCAAATCAATTTCCAATACTATAGGCAGTGATTGTCTCCAGAAATGTCATTCTTACCGATAATAAAGATTCCTATAATGAATATGATGTCATTAACAGGAAACATTGTAAGTGATTTGCTAAGTGTCCCAAATCTTGAAATCAGTATTGAGCAACAACAAATAATCGTGGCCCCCAATTATAGCGGCTGAATATAAACATTTGATAGCATTAGTTTTACATCGCTTTGGTTCTTGAAATGTAGTTACAATGCTCTATTTTAAAACCAATTTTATCTTTGTGGCAAATGTGATATATGACTTTTTTATGACAAGCATTGCAAAACAAATACAAATAGGCCTGAATAAAATATCATATACCGTATTTCAAATGCTGCCTTATCATATGGCAAATTAATCAAAAAATATAAGCACTATAATTTTCTTTTGTGAGAACACAGATGAGATTGTTCTATAATATATCCTTAGTAGCTATTCTCGCAATTATGTTTTTTGTGCGTTCATTGTCTCTTTCAACTCCCTCTGCGTCGTCTCAGCATTAATATCATTGGTGTCAGTTCTGGATAGTTGATTTCTTCCCCCTAATAATGTTATCAGTTACCCAGCTGAAATGAAAATAAAGTATATGTTTGATGGTCTTTGGTAGTCAATATACTGATTACTGCATCGTGCATCCTGCATCCTGCATCGTGTCCTGTCCCAGCTAGTCTGAACGAAATAAATGTCGCTGTTTATGAACCAATCTAAAAGGATACATAAAACTTGAAGGACACGCCCGAATGAGAATCCATCAGTTATTTTTCTCAGTCGTGTTCTCTACATCATGGAATATCATGCCCCTCTTTTCTTACATCAAAGATCAACTATAAACACAGACAGGGTTTTAGATGCGATGTGTATCAGAATGTGTTCTCTCGAGAAAAAACAAGAATGACATCTATTATTCGGAAATATAAATCTTCTGATAGTTGCATGCTCTCTCTCAAAACAGAGATAAGTAATATAACAAATGTATGGATGTAGAATAGTTTCCTATCTCCCCATCTGGTTTCAGTAATGTTCCTTTACAACATAGCAGGGCTTCGGGGTGTAGAATTCAGTAAGAAGTTTTATTTTACTAATTTGCGCCTATCAGGTTTCACATTGTTGGTACAAGATCAGCATCTAACGTACATGTACATAAATCACCCATCACATATTTCGTGATATGTATCGAAAAATATACAATGTGCAAAAATCAATAGAAATACCACAAATAATCTCAGTGGGGCAACATTAGGGGGTCTATGACACAATACTGAAAGTCTTGTATTCTGTAGCTATAAAGTACCTTTATATTCAACATTTTCAATTCATTTTGTTAGGTAGAATAACTGACATTGGTAGGAGCCATCAAATGAGAAACATTTTAATCTATGGGATACCTGATAATTAACAGTGATCAAAAATATACAGTGTGTCCCAAAATAAAATATACCAAGACGAACATGGAACTACTCTGTCAGTGATGATCGAAGGAATATTATTACCACCTTGCAGGGCCTGTTCTAGGGGTTTTAGTACTAGTTGAGAAGGCATTTAAATTGCTATATTGACGTGAGCAATATTGTGTCGGGCGTTAATGACTTTAGTCGGGCAATAATGGCATTATCCGCCCGGCTATGTTTCCCGGGAAAAGTGATATCGTTCAGTGCGTAAGATTTTCTATTTCAAATTTGCTATTTCAGCCCTGGGCATTAACGGTGGTAATAATAGTAATAACATCATTTCTGCGGGCAAAATAACCAATATGGTCCAATATTTCACTATATTGCCCTTTGAAATGACGTTATTGTACTATTATCTTGAAATTATTTCTCAGTTGGTAATATACAAAGTTTTCTAGCTAAATCAAGTGCAGGGTTCAGCTTTTTCATTGAAGGAAAAAAGAATAAGTCCCGTTTAATTTTGATACTATTTTTAGGACACCAGTTGACCTTAGTAATATTTTGACAAATAACCATGCATGCCCATACTTTGGTAAATATTCTTTATTCCTGTTTGCTTCTCATCTTTCAATGCATAAGCCAGACTGGACAAAAGACATGTCGTTCATACCCTCTATGTATGTTGTAGTATCACCCTATGCAGACAGAGCCTGTGGGAAATATTGGGTGCGGAGCAAATGAGCGGAGGGTGCGTAGCTAACGGTCATTTTTGAATTTAAATTTGGGATATTTCTGAAATTAAGCCGTTTTGGGACTTCAAATATACCAAGATATGTGTATTTGACACCAAATATCAATACAATTGTGAAAATAGTAGCACAATTCATTCTATAGCGACGCAGTGTGCCTTAAATCTTTCCCAGACCTATATATTTTGAAATTATCCTTTTAATACTGAGTCCCCAGCATTCATAAAAAATGGTGTTCAAGGTACACTATCTATACAAATTATTTTTGCATCTTGGAAGCCAGGCAGTATCTGTGTGATTTTATAAAAATTCGGAAATGTTTTTCAGATAGAGCCCCCTCTAAATATTGGGTGTGGAGGAGCTCCATAGGGTGAGTATATGTTGGATATAATCCATTTTTGCACTCTCTAATGACACGTGCTAATGAAGACAATCAGTTCTCAATAACCTACCTTTGGTTTTTTTCATTCTGGAGAGAGACTGCCATTAGCAATACCAATAACTTGTCCGTATTATCTCTGTATATCGCGATCGCTCGGATAATTTATTGTACTTTAAGCTATAAATAATAGATGAAAGGTATGCATTGTGATTGATTTTTATGATGAACTACAATGCTTGAAATCTTTCATTTTATGCAACTTGCCACTGGCATATTCTATCCTGTTTGGTTATACTTCCATATCAACAGCACAGCATATTCGTCTCAAATAAAATTTACAATCTGTAAGTTTTTTAATTCGTCACTGATTTGAGAATGCATATAATAAAACCTGTTTGTTATTGATTCAGAACTCGACTCTAGATAAACATGATGCATTCATTGTCATAGGAAACGAAACAAACTACTTATTAGATGATATCGCTAAACCTACCAGGCCTGTGTAGTTTAGTTATATATATACAGAACGTGAAATAGTAGCGAATGAGTTTTAGGGGAGAAACAATGGATAAGTTGCCAGCAAGAATTCTGTGGTAGAAATCTAAAAAAGATATCCAAAAATAGATGAGTTACTTTAAGATCCTTGATCAAGTTATTCTTCACATTCAGTCAATTTACGTTTCAATATTGACAAATATTTGTGGAAAAAATTATTCATTTTAGCCGCGAGTTATCGATGCGTCTGCATATGTATTTTCGATGATCTCTTGAAATCAGCCAAATGGTGGAACTGTTTAAGCATCACTTATAATTTCATTGATTTCTATTATGGCGTTAATATGCCTATACATGAATCCAAAATAGAGACTATTAGGTACTTGTCTGAGAGAACACACATGCCTCAGTAGGAAATAGATATAAAACATACAAGAGAAGTTATTAGACACTTTGTATTAGTATGCGAGGACATGCTGGTCCAGCCTTGGAGTATTTCCCTGTGAGTTTTGGCAAGAATGGACTTTTCGCACTGGGTGTGACTTATGGAGTTTTTATTTCACTGAATTCTGCCGGTAAGTAATACTTATATATCATCATAGGTATCAGTTTTATTTACAGCAATTACATTTAGTAGGTCTGTTAGCAGGTTGGTGTGAGGGACCGACCATCAGAGTCTCGAAGGACCTACAGTAGCCTTGAATAGCAAAATCATTTTAGGCTTGGAGTAATTGATATATTTCGTCACAGTTCTAACATTCTTATACTGTATATGTTGGTCCTAGAATGTTTGCTTTGATATGGGCAAACTATTCCGATGGAGCCTTATAAGATACAATGACCCACCTTCAAAGCTGATATACAGCTGATGGTATACTTCTGGATAAAGGTTAAGATGCCTGTAAAAATAGTTTACTGTTTCTTATTCTATAGTACTATGTTTCTGTATATGAACAAACAGCAAAACTGAACGATGATCTTTAACATTCATTTGTTAGTCGTCTAAATTCAGTACATGGCATAGTCGGCATGCTGTGTGTTTCGATGGCTCTCTTGGTTGGTAGCGTGTATGGAATGTATTGTGGAGCACTTTAATAACACCGCACATAAACAATTATATACAGTAAAGAAAAAAAGGTGCATTGTCCAGTCATATTTTCTTTATTTTTCATTATTACCATACCAAGCATTCAGAGGTATAATATATGTATACTTTGACCAAATGGAGAACATTTCAAAATAATTCGTAGTTATGGTAAAAAGTTAGAAAGGATTGAATAGAACAACTCCCAAAATCGTGAGTGACTTTTTTTACCATAAATTGACGTCATAAATCCGAGAAATCCTGTCCCCAGCAATGTGCTCAAGAAAGGGATCTTCTGAGACATGAAGTTAAATTGTTAGTCACGTTTAAAGGTAATACATCATTTTAAAAAGTTTTCAATCCGATAAAAACTTGTGAAAAATCAGTTATATAATGAAAGTTTGATTAAAACCAATTTGATATTTTTCAGATTTAGAGGTCTCTTCTCAGTTCAAAATTAGGGGTAGGGGTAACATAATATGCTTATGCATACCAAAATTTTCGATAGATCACTCCATCTAAATGATATTTGATATTTACCAGACATATTGCATGACATTTGGTCTCTGATATTGTCTGAATAAATTTATTTATTTGTTTTACGTATTGATATCAAACATTAGTCTACTTGCTATAATACAACATTGATTTGCGTTTCTTGCACAAATGTTGATTCTTAATATATGGTAGTGGTGTAGGGATCAATCTGAATAAATCATTCATCTCGGTTAACCACGGAAGGGTGAACAAATATTATTAAATGCCAAAATGAATCTGAATATTCCATCACGTATTCAATCACTTGCACATTAATGCTTTTTGGGAACTGGAATGGCAGAGTGTATCCACATATTATATGTCACAAGTTTTGTTCTACATACAATCGATAATTCCCAATATGTTCCCTAATAACACATCCTATTTGTATATGATGTATGAACATCAGAACGTGTAGCATCTCATGCAATCGGAATTTTCTTGATGGGGGATAAATATATTGTTGAGGGATCATAAGGACTCACACAACGATTTACCCTGCGTGCACAGTCTAGTTAAACTACAGACGAAGCTCTTTTTAAGAAGTGAAGT